ATGACGCTGGAGATGTGACGATTGGGACTAGACAATAGTTACCGTCGGTTTGTAACGTTGGAAATGTGACGATTGGGACTAGACAATAGTTACCGTCGGTTTGTAACGTTGGAGATGTGACGATTGGGACTAGACAATAGTTACCGTCGGTTTGTAACGTTGGAGATGTGACGATTGGGACTAGACAATAGTTACCGACGGTTTGTTACCCTGGAGATGTGACGATTGGGACTAGACAATAATTACCGTCGGTTTGTTTTGTTGGAGCTGTGACGATGGGGACTAGACAATAGTTACCGTCGGTTTGTTACGCTGGAAATATGACGAATGGGACTAGACATTAGTTACCGTCGGTTTGTTACGTTGGAGATGTGACGATTGGGACTTGTTACCGTCGGTTTATGACGTTGGAGATGTGACGATTGGGACTAGACAATAGTTACCGTCGGTTTGTTACGCTGGAGATGTGACGATTGGGACTAGACAATAGTTACCGTCGGTTTATGACGCTGGAGATGTGACGATAGGGACTTGTTACCGTCGGTTTATGACGTTGGAGATATGGCGATTTGGACTAGACAATAGTTACCGTCGGTTTATGACGCTGGAGATGTGACGATGGGGACTAGACAATAGTTACCGTCGGTTTGTGACGCTGAAGATGTGACGATGGGGACTAGACAATAGTTACCGTCGGTTTGTGACGCTGGAGATGTGACGATGGGGACTAGACAATAGTTCCCGTCGGTTTATGACGCTGGATATGTGACGATAGGGACTAGACAATAGTTACCGTCGGTTTATGACGCTGGATATGTGACGATGGGGACTAGACAATAGTTACCGTCGGTTTTTGGCGCTATGTACTGCCTTCTGGTAACGATTGAGATTAGTTTACATTGGTTTGTGACGCTGGAGGCAAACCAATAGTTACTGTCGACTTGTGATGATGAAACACCTGGAAAAATATAATGAAAAAAACGTACGTTGTTGATATCACTGACTGCATCTGTATTCTGGTAACGAGTCACTGCGGAAGGTAATCTACGGTGTTCAGAAATACCCAAAGGACTTTTCGAGTCAGAAGAATTCTGTGAAAGTCGAAAGAGATAAATCTCCGAAAATGTCGCGCTACAACTGTTATGTCAGTGACTTCTCCGTTATATTTGATCAAGGATAACATAACGGCGCTAGCTGCAGTCTTAAACCCAGGTCCTTCTGGGATTTAATTACGTGATGGTAATTAACGTTGTCAGATACAGTTGTATCCGACGGCGCAATACTGGGTCACAACAACATTGTGTTACCGTGCTAGTGATCAGGGAAGGATTTTACGTTTGTTAATAAATGTCTATCAAATCGCTAATTTCAATTAATAGTATCGAATGAGTTTCTTTTTTGAGATTAGATTTAGTAACAAATGGATTTCATCATCAATTTAGTATGTGTTTATGCGAGACTAAAATTGATTTTATATAAATTTACACTTACACATTTTGAAGCAAACACGCAGAGGTATCACAAAATGAAATCACGATATAATTTTAACATCAAATAGAACGACATCTGAGGTGGTTCAAAAGTTTACAGAACATGTTGTTTTCGACTGTTTTGATTGAGGTAAAGTGAGCGCATTATGGTATTGCGCGGGAAAATTCAAAGTGGTAAAAAAAATCAACGAACTGCATTTGTGATCGGCTGTGACAGGTGAGTAGCTGATGCTTTTATAGTAGAATGGCCAGAGAAATTTTGCCCTTTTGATTGGTTAAAAATATCTTTACCTACAAAATATCCTTTCAAGCTTTTATGTGGCAGTAGTAAATGTCTTAAAGTGGTATTCCAGGATTCGAGAATCATTCTTACTCATTTTAGAATATATTGTCAACATCAAAATAACTTTCCTGTGCTTTTTCAAGGATCATCAAAATTGATAGAACTACTTCCGGCCAATTCAAAATTAGACCGCCTAAATATAGCACATTTATCACGTGATGATTTTGAAAGCATAAACTATAAGCACGATGTCCGATGCAAACAGCGGTGACAAGTGGGGAAAGACATTTTTTCCTTTAATTTTTACAGTAAATGGATGGTGATGGTGAACAAGGACTGAATCCAATTGGTCACCATATTTGTGTGCTGTTCATTGCGCAGGTGTAACTGTTGTTAGGACAATTTACAAATAGATCAAGCTAGATCTATATCGAATTTCTACAAACAGATATTATAAGTTAGTTTTTGTGTCGGACTGAGGCGTACGATTTCCATAAAGACTTGAATAGATACTGATGTACAAATATAAGATTTCCTGTTTACCCGATTTGAGGGAACCTTCGTCACTTCACGAACAGGAGTAAATGTATCGTTTCTTTCACGGAAGGTGCCGAAGAGTCCCGAGCTGGCAATGAGGAACTTTGAAAAAACATTTTTTTGGAATCCATTAAACAAGCAGTTCAAAATTATATGTATGTATATATTTATATATATAGATATTCAGTTAAAACAAAAACAAACAAAAAACACCACGACTATCAATAGCCACATAATACACTTATTTCTGTAAGATTGTCACACAGTTGTGGGCTGTTCATGGGAAGTCATGAAACCAAAATATTGTCAAGACCTAATGAATGTACAATAAAAAAAATATTCCCTCGTGTTGAGATTGTGACATTATGATTTATATATATTCTATCGCTAAAGACATTCATATCGTAAATTTCTATGTATTGACGAGGGATTGACGTCATACAGAAAGCAGTATTTGTCCTCGAGAAAATGTCAGAGCTCTTTGCATGACTATAGCAGCCATCACAACAATAAAGGCAGCAAATGGATGTTCGATCTTTGACATTTATGCGATATTATTCATCTGAAAATGTCAATATCATGATTGATATGTTTGGTAATTTAAACCTCCTTGAAATTCGCCTTACCTTGACCATTAAGAAAGGTACGAAAAGAAATGATATTCTGGAGAACGGAGAATTCAGCCCACGTCATCATCTTTGAGCTATGTAGATTTCTACATCCATTGGAAACAAAACCTGACCAAAAACAATAACGTGTTAATTGTTTACAATTCGTTGACGCTTATGTTTGTATTCATCATGATTGATAGAATAAAAAACAATTGCACACTTGGACACGATTTCCTTACTGCAGGCTACAGCACCCGACGCTTTTCAAGATGTTTTTTGCGCTGCCGAGAATGACATGCTAAAGACATTGCAATATTACAATACATCATTTGGATGTTATTTCGACAGGTTCAGCTAACAGAGAAATAAAGTTCCGTTGTCACTCAGAGATGCTTACTTTTGAAATCTATGTAATTCTTAGTTTCAGTTTTTTAAATGCATTTCCTTGGGTGATAAGTAGAGTTGGTAATTCTTTAGATTTATTACGACAGATTGGTCTGAGAATGCTTGTGTTTTGCAATTTTGAATACAATTTTCGTAATTTTCTCAAGCATGCTGAATTCAAGTATGTGCTATTACAAACATTTTATATCTTACAAGATCACTACATGTATTTTTCGGAGACTGGTATTGCTCACGTGTGTCATTATGTGGTCCCTAATGAGCTTACCAAATAATGCTAAGAGCACGCGAGCGTTTATTAAGCATGTCGGTCTTTCCTCCTTGGTCCCTATGGGGCATGTCCTTTTCTATTGACCACGACAGAACGTGACATGCAGCTTCTAGATACCTCGTAAAATGGTATTGTTCCATTAGTGACGTGATATCGGTCAGACTTTATCCTCGGTATACATGCTATATAAGCTAGAACCTTGCTGTGGTGCGTGATACCGCGGTATATGTATTCTACAGCCATTAGCCACTTTGCATTGCTCTTTATACGGGTATCTGATCTGTGGAAAATGCATGTGAATGTAAACAAATGACGCATGCTAATGTGTAGTGACCATCAATCAGGCTGGACTTTAGTCTGACTTGTGGTTATCAGATGTAGAATATTGGAATCATCTTCAGATACAGAGAGAACTATGTCTTTACTGTTTATGTTAGAGAGATTACCGTGGCAGATATACACGACTGTTAGTTGAGATGGAAAGTAGGATAGGTTGTATTGAAACGTTATTAATGACTGTTTATATTGAAAACAGTGGTATATTTGACCATTTCTTGTGTATCCGTGTCACCAAAACTTCGTCTTTGACAGTATAATTGATACTGCTTTATCTGCTAGTGGAAGTCGTCTTAGCGAACTTTAAGTGTACTAAATAGGGAAGGGCAAGGAAAGGTCAAATTGTCAGACTTCCATCATTTCTGGGCGTCAATACAACTCTCCCCATTAGCCTGGCGCAGCCATTAGACTCCGGCACCATAACAGGGAGGATATTAGCTAAAAAATGTAGACAGAAAATATACGCATTGTGGCAAGTTTTACAGTTTACATGTTGTTATGTATGGGCAAAATATTCATATACACTTTACGTTGACAACTTACTTTGATCTGCCGTGGAACTAAAACAAACAAATCACATTTCAAAATAGAAAATGATATAAGCGTAGTGGAGCTGTTGTTGACAACCATTTCTTGACTTGTTCAATAACATCACAAAGGCTATATCGTTGTTGACTGATTCTATATAAATATAAAAAAATAAAGTGCTTTAAATTTGCCAGATCAATTAAGAAATTTCTGTCGATATATCCTTTTATAGTACTAGCTAATAACATATTTTCTGTTAATATTGTGTAATTGCTTAGAACAATACAATCAAAGATCAACCTCATCAGCACTTACAGAACAAATAGTGTATGGTAAGGGCCCATTGTCTTGTTTGATAAAATACTTATTAAAATCTTTAAACTAAGTTGCTATAATAATTTCGTACCAAATATTATCATAACCACGTATTCCTTTTCTTGTGTAGCTTATAAAGCAAGCATGTATTCATTTTTAATTAATATGACAAAGTTGCACGTGTTATGAAGTAATATTAATACAAAGTCAACCTTTGCATATTTCAGTATGTACACCGTCATCGGGCCAGCAGGCTGTGCTCTCGGGGTCATCGTACTCATTGCGGCTGTTCTCTACTACTTCTGCTATGGCTTCTCCACCATCACACAGCCTCGACACTCCGTAAGTCTATCAAGAGTTGTGTCACGTTTAGCAATCAATGTGTTCCAAAATATTTCCCTGATCCGAAGATTTGGATATAAGCCCCCAGCCACCACTACCACCTACTCTCTCGTTTACTTAATGGCAGCTGCACTTTTTCCTTTTTCTTGAACTACATAAGTAAATATATAAAATGAAATATTATTTTTTGTGTTGCTGATCTCGTACGCAAGAGACGGGAATCAATACGTATGGGTCACATGGTAAGATATTCGTATGTGATCTGGAATTCTTCCCTGCATTTACGGTCTCCGTATGTAAAGACCACAATTACTTAATTAATCCGCAAGTTACCAAGGACGTCTGGGCCCCATTCATCGTGACTCGAAGGCACGCCGAATCGACCCAAACAAACACTTGTTGACCAAAGAACCAATAGATGATTATGATAAATATATACGTATGTATAACTGCTTTCTGTATGAAATATGAAAGCTTGGTGTTATCAGCACGTGGTATGACTAATAAATACTTGCTTCTCATGATGGCTTGGTGGTATCAGTGTTTTGTTTGTTTTTACCTCTAATTGTACAGTATCAGAATTTTAAGCTCAGTTTCTTGAAAAGCTGATAGTGGTTGTTGCAACATCTCAGGAACGATTCCAGTTACATAATGTATGTTAAACAAATTGAAATCATTCAATTGGATGGACATTAGATGCCCGTTTTAAAGTCGTGGTCATGGTTAATGCGAAACAGAGGGAACCATGTGGGTGTTACTGCTCTCAAAATAGTCAACAACACATTGTCGTTTTAAATAGATTATGTAAGACAATTGGAGACACCCTGTACATCTAAGGTACATCTTAGCCTGTAAACTAAATCAAGTTGCTTTGCATTTCGCTCTTTTTAAACGGTTAACGGTGTAGAATGTATACAGGACATCCATCACCAGTCAGAATAATGTGATTTGCGAGTGTGCACATAGGCGTATGGGGAGATAATATGTTCGTTTATTTGGCTACATTTTCCGTTTTCACTACTGCCCTGCAGGTAGGGTATAAGCATTGTGATTCGTAAAAGGCAACTAAATTATTTCTCCTCTTCTTTCTTTTCCCTAATGTCTACCTTGTCGCCATATACCTCACTTCCGGCATTTGGCAGAGGAAGGTTTTCTATCGACTGGTCGAGTCTTACTAGAGTCTTTAAGAATGGTAGTTACTACTTCATGGTTAATGATTCTTCATTGTGTTATCACTATCACGTCATCAGTTCTACACTATCAAAAGAAGGTTTACTTAACATACACGTATATACCACAGCCTCACACAAACACACACACTCTTGCTGACTATAACTGTTTACAAGATATTAAGCAGCAAAACAAACCCAAATTCATCACGTTTTTTCTTTCCTGTTTTTTACCGGACCATTTTCTTCGGTTTATCAATAGTATATTACTTTGAACACAACCGTTAGAAGATTTGAGTGTGGCGTTTTGATAAAAACACTCATCTTCATCAGGCTGATGACCAGACAGATATGTATTTACATTGACGTTTTGAGTGTATTGGATGGTTATAAATTTACAGGACTTTTTCAGCTTATACTAATACTAGTGTAGTATATTCTTAGCCCAGTGGTTCTGATTATGGCCCACTACTTCATGGAGCACCTAGAGAAAGATGCTATTGTCTAGGCATCGTAGATTGTATGCCTGGTTTGTGGGAAAGATATCTCGGTGACATAGAAATAGTTAAAGAAGGGGCACAGATCTTAGTACGCATATTAATATCGTAGATACGACAGTTATCATCACAGTCACCTTGGAGGAAGAAGTCGAAGGTATTCATTGATACACAAAGAAAGGTGACAGTACTATCAAAGTTTTGGTCTATAGAAACACACGAATCAATACCTTCAATTACCCCATTTCATACACCAGCAGGTAGGCGTTTAAACGAATATTGCTCAACAGGTGTGAAACGATTGTCAACGAGGAACAAGACTCGAGTCAAGAGAAAAATCACATTCATAGCTCCATGAAAACATGTGGAAAAGAACAACCATAATACCAATGAAAAGAACAATATTGAAACGATAGGAAGTCCTCCCTCACATCAGAGGATTTATCGTGGTCATGGCAGTGCAACAGCCATGAAACTTTCCAAAATATCTTAGTCCATCATAGGGATAAAACACCGATGAACCGCATCGTCTGTAAGAGAAACGGGGATCCGAGATCTGACATAATGTACATCATAAAACCCAAGAAGGCAGGACATTCTTTAAATTAAAGTGAAAGCAATCTCAGTTCGAGATCAATAAGTCGGAGCTTATAGAGCATTCCACACAGCAAAGTCATATAATTTCAAAATAGTTAACAGGAATCAACCATTTCAGTCGGTCGGTGAAGGAGGCCATCTAGCTACGCCGCAAGTACTAAACAGGGACAGGAAATGTGGGCTAACATACTCTCATATATATAACAAGTGGAAAACAAAGGGTATCCGAAATGATTTCGTACCATGTCGTACAATCATTTCATACATCAATGCTAATACGCCTGAGGTAGCAGGAAACAGTTAATTTGTATTTTTCCTGAAATTATATGTCATGTTTGAGATATACAGGTATAGCAGAATGGTTATGAAAAATACATCATTACATGTATATATATTTATAAACTACATAACAATTACATTAACAGTAGAGAGATGAAATTTGTGTAAAAAAAATCCTCTGATTTCTGACATTTGATTGTCATGGTTACCTACTGAAAAAAATGCTAAAAATGCAAAAATACTGCTAATTCCAACCTAACACTACAATTGTCTTGAAGAAATTTAATTCTTAACACCTATCTTACAATCAACAACACTGTCATGGTAACAAAGTACTTACATTTCAGCAAATTCCAACGCGGAAATTCTTCATAACATGACCACATGTAAACACTATGAAAATTTCAGTTCCTGTAAAGCTAGTTTTTGGTGCGTAGACACAGATTCGAGACAGCCCAAATAGTAATCTCCAACACAAAGCTAAGATATTATCCTGAAAAAAATGAAACCCCACATTGTCCACTTAAACATGACAGGACCAATTTTAGCAAGGAATTTTTTTTTCATTTTTAATTAAAACCTTTATAATGGGGTAATCTAATGAGCAAAAATATCACCCATGGCCACACCGAGAAACTGTGTACTGCTACCTGACACTGGTTATTTATCTGATGAAGCTTTTTGTCAAAACTTTTTAATACTGGTTGTGTTACATTAAGGTTATATGTTCCACTAAATTCCTGTTCGAGGTGTAAGGGCCAATTGGGATTAGGATTTTTCTGGTAGCAATTAAATCCATTTATGACAATTGCAAATTAATATGAAAAAAATAAAATGGGAACATCATATTGAAAAAACACATACGTTGTATATATCTGGTTTGTGAGATTGAGCCACAACTACAAGAGGACACATATGGGAGTTTTATACAGAAAAAGCTAACTCCCAATATTTTATCATCTCTAAACATTGACGGCTCATGTCTGCGGGTTATGGTGTGTTCAATATCTGATACAAATGATTCAAGTAGCATTGTACTTCCTTTCTCAATAAACTTGTTTCAATTAAAACTCTGTAGCATTTGTTGAGTGTACTGACTTCGATCCGGAAGGTATTTTAATAATAGAAATGTCAGAAGAACTATGTAAATATGTGGTTTATGGAAGAAGGTCGATATACCAACGGGTTGTTTGTTTTACTAACATTCATCGCCGTTCCAACCTCCAAAAGTAGGGTTTTAGCCAGCATTTACCACGAGAAAGTACGTTTAGTTTGTTCCTATGAAAATAAATATTAGCATACACTTCTCCCAGGCATGACGGATCCAACTTCCCCGTACCAGTGTCTAGGGCAACTGAATTATAATAGTTTACGGACAGTTAAAATATTCAGCAATTAGTGGCAGAAATTACACTGTTGCTGAAATACCACCTCTTAATTTGCTCCACGTAGTCAAATTTTTTTTTCAAAATCATCGTTACCATCATCGTTTAACATATAATGTGACTGTGTTGTGTTTCAGACTACATCCGGCGGAAGTAGCCACCACGGACACTCCTCCTACTCAAGCGTGAAGAGTGCGCATAGTCACAATGACGACAAATCGAATGGAGAGGCAAGAAACCATTCCCGACATTCTAACAAACGGTCAAATTCATCGTCATCAAACCAATCACACCACCACCACCACCACCACTCCCAAAGTCCACACGTTCAGAAAAATCACAAGCGTCCTGCTAGCGCATCGCCACACACGCCACCGGAAGAAGAAGATCGTGCTGTCAGGTAGGATAATTTCGTGTGAATACTGAGAATGGAGGCAATTTTTTCTTTCGGGAAATTGCATAAGATATTACCAATATCGCCAGCACTATATTGTGATCAAGGACTATTTGATACAGTTTAATCCAGTGGCGTAATTAGTAAACATATGTCAGCGGTTTGTTATTTGTCAGCTGATCAATTTTGTGTATCTTATTTGTCGATTTATCAATTTGTGTATCTTATTTGTCGATTTATCAATTTGTGTATCTTATTTGTCAGTTGATCAATTTTGTGAATCTGTTTGCAGACTAACTGAACACACAGATGTTACGGTCACATTGGAAACCACGCCTATTCCAAGCCCAGAAAGCGGTCCAGAAGTTGAAATCGTACAACACCATGACCCGGAGAAGTGAAAAGTACTCTCGTTTGCTACGAGAGTTCGTGTTTGTTAAAACAATAATAACTTGTTTTAGACAATCTTTTAAATTGGGATTAATATGGTGCCTTCTTCTCTCTGTTCCCTTTTTATATCCATTATATTCCTCAAAGTAGAACAACAATAAGAAATCAATTGCACATCTTATCAATGGAAAGGCCCGTGAATCAATGTGTGACTAAAGCGAGGCCGAAAGACAGCATATGTGAAAGAGCAAAAACAGAGAAATAGAACAACACCTAAAAGAGGTTGTGCCGTGTAGGAACACTGCCTAGTTCATTTACGTCACTATAGTGACGACATAGTGACGACAGAAGATTCCATACCAGTGATGTGTGATCTACTGACATTAAATCAACTTGGTACGTCATTCAACAGAGCTATTGTACAGAAAATACAACTAAATTATTGCCGATACATGTTCTGATGGCTGGGAAACGAAAATGAACGACTATACATTTGTGAGGTTATGTAATTGTGACACCTTGGTAATATGGAACCCCTGTCTAAGACAATTCCAATTAAAAGGGCTGTCTGTTGATTTACCATGGCCGCGTTGCTGTAGTGTTACCAAGAAATGGACTGTTTCGATGTGCCACGTCATGTGGGTAGGAAGGGACACTATGACGCAGTCATTTGTATTGGTACACGTAAAACGCCATAGCATCATATACACCTTAGAAAGTGCAATAAGATCACGTGTTAAACAACAAAGACGTGCAATATAATAGTTATACGTGATCATTAAATGTGCAATAAGTGAATGTAAAAGGTATGCCGATATGTGTACAATACTGGAATTATATACACAATATACAATGTCGAAACATCACAAACCGGATACATTAATTTGTAATTAATTATCAGGCAAAGACATAATAGTACAAAGTACTTAAGGTGATAACCGAAAATCTTATACATCAATATAATCATCGTATTGGTGTATTTTGTTTATTATCTAAACATTTGAAGATTATATAAAAGGCACATAAGTCCACTGCACAATTTTATATAAATGTATAGCTGGATAGAGTAGAGCCAAACTATGAATTAAACTAATCGCTTGGCGTGATTCCATTCGAAACAAATTAAAGATGTATCAGGGATGCGATAATATGGGGGATATTGTAATACTATAACTACTACATGTAAGTGCATCGACTGAATATTCACTTAAACTGGAATTCTACAGTGGAACCAAGAAAATGTCAGGAACCATCGATTTTTCTAAGAATATAATCTTCTCCGACAGATCTTGTTATTTCTGCATACCAATTTCCCTCCTAATGTTGCTGAAGCTGGTGCACAGTTTTGTTTCATTTCCGCGTCTACCAGGCATACAGCGTCTGCCTACTTACTGTTCGTATGATATATAGGTCACGTGGGCGCTTCACAAGCTGGAGTTTTGACGAATTCTAGACTAAACATAAAATTCCTATTTGATCAGATTCTGGGGAAAATGGTATCTAGGCAACGATCGTGAAAACGAAATATAATATAGCTTATCGGTTTGTTCTAATGACATGGCAAGGGTTTAAGGATAGATGATAAATTTGTATCTTCTGTTATATGTTTTCGTCCAAAATGTCCTCACACTAGAGTGGTGTCAGATTTTTTAGGGGGAAAATCTATACATCGATAACAAAAAGTATATGATATAACAAAGCATTATAATGAACAGCTATATCTCTGGTATAATTCAATAATGTTTTGGATAAAGGGACTTCTGTACTTACTACACTGTATACCACAAAATAATTATGTATACTACAATATATTAACGAATCAAAACAATATGTAGAAATGTTTATTTGTTGGTGATATGCTTTAGTTTGAGATAAACTTACTTGTGGCTGTTGATACCATGGATGTCTCTGAACTGAAACTCAAAAACAAAAATTAAACACTACTGTTTGAGTCTGTAGTTTTCGCCTTTGCGTCAAAGGTACAATAGGGTGCGAATTTTGTTCTAAATTCATATTGCACATTGTAATTGTGTTCAGAAATTTGAACGTTCAATACGATACATATTTACACCAAATTAGGTTATTTCTATATTGATTTTCTGAATGTAATTTTACTCATACGAAGTCAAAGGATGGTGTGCACAGTCCCTACCTACTCCCCCCACAGACATCCATGGCAGTTTCCCGAAAATATAGTAAGTGTTCCATCTGTTGTGTTGGCTCGTTTTATATAATGCATTATTGAAATATTTGTTGCGATTATATATATATCATCTTTGATTTTTGTGGAAATATTAATATTTCAATGTAACAAAACCCTGTAAATTCTTTGTAAAAGTTGTATGTGCTGTCATGTCGAGACGTGACATGGACCTTTCTATGTATATATGATGTGTAGTAAATCTTGTGAATTCATCAACTAGATTTTGTAATGAAACCAGCTGTGGTAAACGGTAATCTTGTTTGCTTATGAAACCAGATTTGTTAAATGGTAGATTTGTTTGGCAAGGAAAAAAAATGTTAAATGGTAGTTATGTTTGACAATAAAACCAGCTGTGTTAAATGGTAACTATGTTTGACAATAAAACCAGCTGTGTTAAATGGTAGTTATGTTTGACAATAAAACCAGCTGTGTTAAATGGTAGTTATGTTTGACAATAAAACCAGCTGTGTTAAATGGTAACTATGTATGACAATAAAACCAGCTGTGTTAACTGGTAACAATGTATGACAATAAAATCAGCTATGTTAAATAACTATGTATGACAATAAAACCAGCTGTGTGAAATAACCATGTATGACAATAAAACTAGCTATGTTAAGTGGTTGTTATATTTGCCAAGAAAACCAGCTGTATTAAATTGTAACTATGTTTGACAACAAAACCGGCTGTGTTAACTGGTAGTTATATTTGACAAGAAAACCAGCTGTGTTAAATGTTAAATATATATGACAAGGAAACCAGCTGTGTTAAATTGTAACTAGCTTGTTCCATGACAACAGTTGTTTGAATTGTAACTACGATTGATGATAAAACCTCTGTATTAAATGTTACTATGTATAGTAATGAAATTAACTTGGTTGAATGGGAACCATGATCGGTATTGGGTGATAACTCTCTTCGGTGATAACACATAGGAAAAGTTCCTCTAGATTTTCTCTGCGGGGCAGTTTTTATATTTTTCTCCTTAATTGTTTGTTATTTACAATCACTACGCAAGGCATGTTGTGCCATATTCAAGCAATACACAATATTCTATTTTGGTATCTTTGAAGCATCAATCTTTTTCTTAAAATTCACGATGAAGCATTACTATCATTCTCTCTTGTGACATAACAAGCTTTACATATGGCGTTTGTTAAAAACACACATGTTATTATATTTTGTACTTATGTTGAAGAGAAATGTACACAATACTATTATCTAGTATAAGGTAACCTTATTTTTAAACATCCATTTGTTCGAACAAGTTTAATATTCGAAAGTGTTCGATATGAGTTATTTTAATGTCTTAATGGGTTTAAAGATAATAGTATTTTCCCAGTGTATAATATACGTTATTACAAACAACCTTTACCAATATCAAATAATTTCGTTTAATTTCCCCAAGGCAGAGAGGGATAAAAAAAAGTGTTGACAGTGGTATATTGTTGTGTACATTCCAATGGTTACACTTACGTGTAAGTTTATTAAATCTACGTGTATATATCGTGATAATAAATAACTATTTAAATTAGAAATTGCTTGTTGTTTGTACGTACCAGCTATGATAGAATATCTAAGCAATATTTCATTTCTAACATTTACATTTTTTCATAACCGTTAAAGATGTAAAAGAGGTTTGGAAGGTAGAAGCTTATTTCATTTCCTGTTTTCCTGGGGTTTTTTCTTCTTCTTCTTCTTCTTTTTTTTCCATCTGGATCAAAATGTGTGTAATGTGGAATGGGAGCGGTTTTACATGTACAAATTAATTTAGCAACATTCCAGATTGGATAATGAAAGTTTTCTCTCAGATTTTACGATATATTTATAATGAAATGTCAGTTTTCACATAACAGTTTGTACTATGATATGCTGGTGACGGGATGCTAATTTTACAATGTACTTATAATTGGATGCCATTTTGATAATGGTTATGTAACGCGTTTTACAATTGGTTAATTATGATGACCTCATTCCCGATATACTCATGAATTCTGACACTAGCACAAATATAACGGCCATCTTTTCGATTTGAGGCAGATGTTCGACGTTGACATTGAAGAAATTTATTGTAACATGCTTAAAATCGAAATGCGAAGTATGGAATAGGGTAATGATAATATTCCAATTCCTTTTTTGTCTGTTTTAAGTGAGTAATTTCAGAATGTCGATAACCGTTACAGTAGTTGATGTTCTCAATCCAGGAACCAACTTCAGTTAATAACACAGCTAAATGAAATCTTATGGTATCGTCGTCTACTTTTACTGGATAATTCTGTAGAGAATGATACATAAATCCTAATCTCCAGTTGAAAGAAACGAACTGACAACTTAGGATGAGTCTCCCGTCGCGATCTCGTCAATGCCTTTCCACAATGTATGTTGTATTATCGATCTATGTTAGCTAATTCATGACGAATTTTGGGCATCTACACAAGGAATCAATATAAACAACAATTTAGATAGATAATCCACGCAGAGAAACATTTTTTAGCCTTTTCAAATGTCTCGGCTTCCATTCTGATCTGAATCAATCGACAACTTGACTGGAAAATGGGCGAAGCTTCTACGTCATCAACAGTTGAAAGAGGCGTTTTGGTTGGCTAAGACCATGTGCGGGAATAATTTCTAATATAGTTGTGCAATTCTTATTTTTTTTATTTAATTTCGTTGATATTGCGACTAATACATCACACATCATTTCTCACACAGTTTGTATTTTACAATATGATTTGCGGTGGGATGCCATTTTTCACATGCAGATAGTATTTTACAATAGGTTCGTGATTGAATACCAGTTTTCACATA